ATTCTCTTTATTAATATAATATGTGTTCGGGACGCACCTGCGAGTTGCGATTTTGTTTTGCTGGGACACACCCGAGAGGGTATCGCGAGTTTGCAAGTAACGTGATTTCGCACTGGATGAATGACGGGATGCAATAACGTAAAATTGCTCCTTTGATTGTAACACAGTGACAGCCACACAAGAGTGGTGATAAGTTTATTGCGTAAAATACACGATATGTACAGAGTTTATAGGATTTCGATGTGTATGCGACTCTATTTCGGATATTTGAGCACGTCGAGATTCGCACTCGATCGGCGAGATCGCACTATACAATTGTTCGCTTGATAAAAACGATACAACGCGTTATCAGATGTTCGCGTGAGAGCGAGCGAGACAGCGCTCTATCAGCTGTTCGCGTGAGCGAGCGAGACAGCACGATTCACGGTTGCACGCACGAGATTGAGAGAGACAGCGTTACATCAGCTGTCTGCGAGAGCGAGCGAGACGGCGCTCTATCCGTCGTTCGCGAGATCGAGCGAGACCGTACTATTCACGGGTGCACGCACGAAACTAAGAGAGACAGTGCTCCAACGGTTGTCTGTGAGAGAGAGCGGGACGGCGCTCTATCGGCCGTTCGCGAGATCAAGCGAGACCGCACTATTCACGAGTGCACGCACGAAACTGAGAGAGACAGCGTTTAATCAGCTGTCTGTGAGAACGAGCGAGACCGCACTATTCACGGTTCGCGTGAGAGCGAGCGAGACTGCACTTTCCATGGTTCGACGCGAAACAGAGAGAGACAGCGCTCTATCGGGCTGTCTGTAAGAGTGACTGAGACGGCGCTCTTTCAGCCGTCCGCGTGAGAGCGAGCGAGCGAGCGGGCTCCTCCATTCCACAACAGCATTCATCAGGAGAAGCAGGTCCGTCCTGTAGAATGTGGTGTCCTCCACAATGCTCGCAGTCATCGGAGTGGTCGTCCATTTGACCCCGGGGCCCACCCTTGACCCCGAGGATCGCCCGTCATCCGATGACGACGGGGGAGGGGCCGGGACGCTACCCCTCACCCGCCGGGCCCTGGGGCTCCGAGGACCCCTGGGCCGGTAATGATCGGCGCTTTTTCTTGCCTTTCATTTTCATCACGTTTTTGTTTTTTATCGAGGTTGTCTCCTCTAGGCTATTTGATAGCAGGCGCCACCCTGAAGAAAGAAGAAATAAAAGAATGGGTTGGGTGTTCTCCCACCCGTCAACGGCCCCATTGTACCGGGTTTAGAATCAGGGTTTTCCTTCCCCTATCCGCATTAGGCCAGAGTGCCCGAAGGGAGCGGAAACCCCCTCTTCCTCCCCTTCTGGGGAGGGAAATGCAATGGTGTGCTCTTGGACCTCTCAACCCGAAGGAAGAGGAGAGCCCCTCCACCACGACAAGTTGGCGCAACATCGGAGGGGTGCACCCTTCTATGAGGGCCGAAAACAGGGTCCGTAAACTACCTCTTTCGACCCGCATGCAGGCACCCTGCCCATCCATTTTCTACCCCCCTCTGCCGGGGGTCCTTCCTTGGTGGTGTCCCCCCAGGTGTTCAGTCACCCAGGGGGACCCAAAATTTCGCGTGTGCCTTCGTTTGTTTTATAGTGGGGTAAGGCAGGCCCTGTGGGGTAAGGCACACTAGGTGGACTCCTGTGTTGAGAAGCGAGCCCATCCTCCAACCGAGCTCCTCTCATTGGAGGGGCCCCCTCGGCAGAGAAGAAGAGGAGTATCCTCTGATTACTACTGGGGGGGATGCGACTTCCCCCAGCGTTTGATCAAAGGAACCGCTCGATCGAAGGGTGTGCCCACCGCCCGTTCAGGCACCAACCATTTAACCGTGGTGATCACCATCGTGTGATGCACCCCGGCACCGTTCGCTCCGCGTTTTCCGGCTAGAGGAAAGCGTACCCCACCTTGTGGATGATAAGCTCGGGACTCCTCATTCCATCGCCCGAAAGGTCAGGAATGGTCCGTCACCCTCATCGACCCTTCCCGTGTCCCTGCATCCGCTTTATTTCACAGGAGGAATGCAGACCTCTGCTGTAGTATATCAGCCTCAGGCTCTACGAGGTAGCAGCCGTCACCTGATATAACCACGCCACTCGACGGCATCCGTGACTCGATCTAAGTGTGCTTTCGAATTTCCGGAGGGTGAAGCACAACCCTTTTTCCCACCATGCCGCATCCACGACATGATGGGCCTTGACATACCCGGGGCTCTCATTGTAGAGCCAAGCTTCGCTTCCTCGTGGAAGCAATTTGTGTAGAGTGATTGTGGAAGTGATTTGTGTCTCCATCGCGAGGCACCTCTACACCCGTTCTGCCTACGATTTTTTATTCAAGGGTGGGCAGGCCCCCTGCCGCCGACGTGCAACGTCGACTCCTAACCCGTGTCCCCGCCTCCGCTTTTTTTATTTAGCGAGGGGAAGGCGGACCCTTCGCCGTGACGATGCCGACCTCGGGGGGCCAGGTTTCCCTGTACTAGACGGAGGGGACCTTTTTTTTTTCCGATGTGGAATCCTATTGACGGACACCCTCCATCTCGGGGGAGGCTTTGGGTAGTGCGGGACTCCGGTCGAGATGCATCCACCCGAGCCGACTACCCGCTAAACCACACCGGTGGCATCCTAACCGCAACGGCGACTGCCGGGGACCGCTTTCGCATAACTTCTGGAAGTCACCATGCGTATGCGCAAAACATGCATCAACAGCTAAAAATTTTTATTTTCTTATAACCAAAATTGACCAAGCGTGGCAAGCACGGATCAAATTATGATAATAAGTGGGGCATCCCAGCGCCACTGTGCAATTACTGAGATGCCCCGCCCACCGTGAGGGGGAGATAGGAGGTTAATAGGCATCGAGACCACCCCGCACCCACTCCGCCACGGCAGGTTGCTCCTCTATAAGTATAAGTGCTGAACTTGTAAGCGAAAAAAAAAACAAAAAAAAAAGTGAGGATAAAGGTGAAATAAAGATATACATGAAAGTGAAGATGAAGATGAAGATGGGGATGAAATGAAGATGGCAGTGAAGATGAGAGTGCAAATGGAGATGGAGATGAGGATGAGAGTGAAGATGAAGATGACACGAAGATGGAGATGAAGATGAAAATGAAAATAATCGTAATGGAATGGAAATGCAGGATTAAGGGAAATGATAAGTTCATATAAGTGAGAGGCAAAACTATGGAGGTCCTCGAATTGGGAACGAGGGAAAAGAGGTTCCCTCACGCTTCCTCTCCTCCTCCTCCTTCACTTTAAGAACGACAACGGCAAAGTGTGAGAAGGCATTCCAGTACTCCTTCTTTTGAAGGATCTTTTCAACTATTACCCTCAGGGTTAAGCTGTCATTATTTCCTAAACCCATTTTACGCTTAAACTCAAATCTTGGAATGTCCCAGGCTGAACACTCGGCAATAGTGTGATCCAACGAATCATCAGCAGAAGAACAATGATAACATCGCCGTATCGCGTCTACCTATCCTATACAAGAAATGACCAAAACTGCCATGTCGGGTCATCATCTGCGACATGTAATAATTGACCTCTCCGAAATTCCGATTTAACCATCTGCCTAAGAACGGACGAAGCGCAGACACCGTCTTTAGACTCGAAATTCCAGGTCTACCTAAGTAGACGTCCCACTGTCGCAAAAGTAGAAGGTTCTCACCATTGCGAACCTCCGCATCCGTTTGGTGCGTGAACACATTTCTAGCCTTTAGATCTATGAATCTATTGTATATACGACACCGCAAGGTTGCCTCGAATTTCCAAAGAGGAAATCCAGCCAACAGGGTCACCGCATCAAAGGACACCGTTCTATACGATGCAACAGACCGAATTGCACAGGTGCGCTGTAGTCTGCGCAATGGACGAGTGACTCTGTCCGAGGCTGATGCAAAGGCTTCACTCTAAATCGGTGCGGTATACATAACCACTGAAGTAAAAATAGTGGCATATAACCTCCTCTTACGCTCACCAGGCCCTCTAAGATTAGGCATTAATCTGTTTAACGCTCTACTTACTTTAACCGCCTTATTTTCAACGTATTTAAAATGACTGCGGAAATTCCAGAGACTATCAATCATTACCCCCAGGTATTTCATGGAATCACCTACCTGAATACGCGAACTTTCTACTGCCACCATGGGCATCATTATCGGTTTTCTTTTCGAAAAAAGGACTGCCTCAGTTTTAGTCTCAGCGACCGACAAATCTAGCTTTTTTATGTGCCAAACTACCCTCGCGATTTGTAAGTTTGCTTTTACAATTGCTCCAAAAAGCCTATGCGAGGAGGCAATAATCAGGGTGTCATCCGCATAGCATACGGTATGACACCCTCCTCAGATGCAAGCCTAAGAACCGAATCAAATGCGATATTACACAGGAGTGGCCCAAGAACTGACCCCTGCGGAACACCAGCGAGAACTTTGCGTTCTACAATCCGATTTGCAGAGTTCCTATACACGATATAGCGATCAGAAAGGTAATCAGCAACAATCCTACGCAAATAATGAGGGAATCCCATGGATTTCATAGCTGCTAGGATAACGCTAAAAGGAATCGAATTAAAGGCATTAGCCACATCCAATCCAACTGCAATCGCCTATCCATTTTCATTCATAACCGACAATGTCAGTTCGCGTACTTTAGCGAGGGCGTCAACAGTGGATCTTGCTCTTCTAAAGCCAAACTGATTTTGGGAAAGTGAGCGAATCTCATCCTCTTTTAACCATTTGTTAATTCTGTCAGAAATAACCCTTTCTAAAATTTTGCTTATCTCATCAAGGAGGCAAATCGGACGTGCTTTTATACCTTCCGTGATGGTACTTTTCCCTTTTGGAATAAGAACTAGGATGGATCTTTTCCAGAGTTTAGGAAAACTTCCAGTTTTAAGGCACAACGTGAAGAGATTAGCCAGGTGCTTAAGTACAATTTCCGGTACCTTTTTCCATACTGCAGCTTTTAAATTGTCAGGACCTGGTGCTGCATTCCTACACGGTCGTTTTTTGACCAATCTTTTTAATTTGAGCTATATTAACGTTGGTTTCCTCATCCTCCTCTGATGGAGGGGTTACAGGGAGGATTGGATTATCCACTCCACTCGAGGAACCAGGAAAAAGTGAATCCAAGAGTTGGTTAAGACTATCTTCTCCAATAGTCTCTGACAAAGTGGGGCTAGACTTACGCAATTTCCTCATAACTAATTTATAGGGTAGACCCCATGGGTCTGTTTCAATTGATGATATTAGTTCGGCCCATGAAGAGCTCTTAGCCTTCTTTATTGCCGATCTAAGAACCTTTTTCGCTAACATGTAATTATTTTTCTTAGCTAAGATATCTGCAGTATCCGTGCTATGCCTACAACGATGCCATAATCTTCTCGCTTTAATAGCCGAACTTCGAAGATCAGATATTTCGCTTATCCACCAATATATCTGGCGACGCTGGTTTTTACTTTTAACTAAAGGAGCAGCTGTGTTACAAGCACTACGCATTATACTGCGAATCCAATCTACATATTGATTCAAATTATTGTCTATACTATCCGGTAGAATCGCACTAGTCAGCAATTCAAGAGTCTCAGAGATAATTCATCATCTAATTTGTTAAAATTCCATCTCTTGTGATTAAAAACATTGCCTTTTTTAAATATGTGTTCTTTAAGAGTAAAGGCAATGTACAGATGATCGGAGAGAGTTTCGATTCGTTCGAGCACCGACCAGCCCTCCACACAATCAACCAAGCCAGAGGAAACCCACGATAAATCCACAATTGATCCACCCTGTGGTCTGATACACGTATATGCTACACCAGTATTAAGTAAACGAAGATCGAACATTGCCGACCATCTCGTAATTAGTTCGCCACGCCTATTCAAGGAAGTCGAGCCCCACAATGTCGAGTGCGCATTAAAATCGCCACAAACAAGAAATGGTAAAGTGGCAAACCTACTGATAGTACTGCTAAGTTTATCTAATATACGACAGAAAGCATTATTTACATTGGGAGATATGTAACAAGAAGTCACACAAACTTCCCCCATTCGTGCAAGAACGAAACCATGACCGCGCTCAAGAACTCTACAGCTTAAATGCCTTAGACCTTCAGGCCTCCAAAGAATAGCAGCAAGTTCGTCCAAGCTCTTAAAATACGTACTACTCTCTTCAATCCTGCTGGGGGATTCCGCAACAATGGCAAGGCCAATGTCAGCTTCAATCATATATTGCCTAAGAAGATCCAGGGCTCCCCAGCTGCGGTTGAGATTAACCTGTATAATTCTAACACCTTGCATCATATGGATTAGACGATTGCGACCCTATTCTTGCCTTATTAGGCATTCACTTTTTTAAAGATACAATACCACTAGGGTATCCATGATTTTCAAGGCAACGTTGTGCACCGATCCTATGTCTATATTCCTTACCATCCTCTGCACAGATAAGACACTTCAGCATTCCAGTGTTACACGCGCCAGCTAAGTGTCCCACCTGACCACAACGAAAGCAAGTGCCCTTCCTATCAATTTCTGCGGTACACCGTGACGCAACATGCCCAAAGCGCCAACATTTGTGGCACTGTACGGGACGCTTTTTAAGGAGCTCTACTTTCCCCCGAGTCCAACCAAGCGTCACCACTCCGTTTTCGGCGATTTTCACCGCAGTTTGTAGCGGGCAGGTTACCCAGGCAACCCTCATTCCATCTCTCATATTGGATATGGTACTAACCTTGAACTCGCTGCGGTGTGCACCACTAAGGGACTCCATTTCCAAATAGATCTCCTCCTCGGTGGTCGAAGGATCTATGCCACGTAGGCGTAATTCTCCCATCGTGACAGGATTTTGAACCTTTGCATCTTGTCCCAAAACTTCTGCAAGATTAGACCTAAGAACGCTAGCCAATTGTTTCCCCTGCGGGCCAGGGACTTTGATGACGATAGCATCACTAATCGCTCGACGGATGATTGTAGTTTGTATACCCAACTCCCTGAGACATACCTTTTCGCGGGCCTTAGCCAAGATTTGCGCATAAGTAAGGCCATCAGGCTTACTGGTTATAGTGACAACGGCCGATTTAGTGAATCTTCTGCCCGGCTTGGCCGTTTCTTTCTTATTATTCGCTAATCTACTCCGGGTATTAGTACCCGATCTGTTGTCAGGAAATTGAGTCATTTTACGACCCCTTCCTGTTACCCTGTTCCATTCCGTATCACCGGAAGGGGGGGGGGCAAGGCTGGGGGCACTATCTGTATATTATCGACTAACCTGATGCCCTTACTGCGCGGTGTAGATTGTGCTGCAGGATTAATCTTGTCTACTTTTTTAGCATAATTCTTAAAATTAGGCTTAGTACTAAAATTAACATTATCATCGTACATATTAGGATCGCTGTACATATTAGAATTTAGGTTACTTCTATTCTTAATTTTAGCGTTAGATATTTCTACTTTCCTATGCTTATCTTCTTTTGTCCACGGGATCGACGCAGCTCCACCCGGCCATTCTGTGTCGTGGTCCATATAATCTCTATCCTTAGAGCAACCAGGAATGTCACTTACAAGGGGCTCAACTTCCATGTTAGACTCAGCCACCTCCAGTCTTACAGGAGAGGCAGAAGTCCTCTTCTCCTTTCTTTCTGGTCTCTTCTCCCCCAGAGGCAACGCCTTCACAGACTTAATACCCCTGTACGGGGAGGAGGTACCAGATACCATCGCCGGAAATGGTCCAAAGCCTTCCTTGAGCGACCTAATTTCACGTTGCAGATCAGTGATCATTTTACGCAGGCTATTTATCTCCTTGCTTTGAGCCTGCTCTTTACGTTTAATTTCTTCAAGCTCTTCTTTCAATGCAAAATTTTCATTTTTAAGAGAGAAGGCATCGCCCGCAAGTGTGAGTCTTTCTATCATAGCCTTCGTAATTTCAGCAGCTATTCGCTTGCTATCCTTCATGCGACCAGCAACACGTCCTGAGATGTTGCTACATCGGCTTCTCTGATTTTCGATTTCATTCAAATGGTCGAGACATCTAGCGCCTAAGGCTGCAGGATCCATCTCTAATCAGTTTTGCCTTGAAAATTGCAACTCTCTCTCTGCTTCCTCCTTAGTTACTGCAGTCGGTATAGCTATTTTCCTTCTGGACTTTTGCCCCTGGTCTTTATAAGATCGTTCAACAGCTCTTTTTACCACCTTTGTTCTTGGCGCTTTTATTAGCCAAATAACCGCTACTAACAGTGTAGCTATCAGAGCTGTATACAGATGCTTCATGTGGAATCTCCTCAGACCTACGTGAAGATGAAGTATTATGTCCATCTGAGCATCCGGAGAGTTTTCTCTGCCTCTCCACAACAGACTCAATAAATTCTTCCCTAAAAGCGGAGGAACTTTTTGAATTATTAGCATCTTCTTCATTCAGCAGCTCATCAACTTTGTAATCCTTAGCTATACCGAGCTTCCTAGATTTCCTGAGCTTAGAGGCCTTAAGCTGAGAGAAATCAGCCAATCTTTCATTCTTCTTCTTGTTTCTTCTTGTGACGCAAACATTTGAGGGAAGCTCTTCTTTATCTTCTGATTCTGTGTCCGTTTTAGAACCCGATGTTTTATAGACCGCTTCGTCTTCTTGTATTCTGCTATCAGAGCTAAGAGTTATAGGCGCCTCCGCAGACTCCATTACCCGAGTTTTATTGGGCCGACGAACAATTCTTTCTATTGAATCCTCCACATCGCTGACTGGGGATGTAGAGGCCTTTCTTTTCTCTCTAATATTTTGCACCACGATATCATCAGGCTGGTTCACATGTTTCCGATGTTTTGTAAGTGCATGTGACAATCTCCAACGGATTGATCTCAGCAGTCGCTACTTGTTCTGCTGGGGCGCTGGCCGAGACCACTCCAACAGTGCCCTCGCAGGATTCCCGTCCTGGGACGGTCGACCCAGCGGTGTCGGGCTCACTACTGTGCCGGTCTCTGGGGGATCCGAGCACCCCTTGAGCCGGTAAGTTTTCATTGTCCTTTATCAAATCCATGTTGCGTATAAATTTTGGGGGCGTAGTTCGAGCGCCCCAGTCTCTAGGGCGATTGGGTGATACCTGAGCCGGGGTTCGCTCAACCCTACAGGAGTTACCGGATGTATGAAGCTCCGATTCTAACGACGCACCATGCTCAAATGAAGACAATATTATATTGGATGTGTCCTCTATCTTTTGCTCAATCTCAAGGAGCGTATTCTTTTTGACTTCTAATCTGTTGCTAATATCATAAAGTGCAGATTTGGAAAAATCAATTTCCTTTATCATGCGTGTGTCCAGAATGATTTCCAGCTCCTGGTCACTTTCTTTATTCGGAAATTGTAAACAGCTGCCATTCCAGTTTTGAATAATCCTATCATCGTTGGTGGGTGCGGATTTTTCTGCAAGTGGAGACAAACCACGAAGTAAACTTAATTCTAGGCTATGATCATGATCTCGCACTTCCAACAACTTAATACGATGCAACAAATATAACCGTGCCAAATCCATCTGCTGGCCATAGTCTTACAGCAACTTAACATATGCAATTGTTGCACGAATGTTATTGCGCAGACAAACATTATTTCCAGACACAGCATGTTTCTCTGCAGAGTACAAATTCCTGATGGCACAGGCAACGAGGTCTTCAGAAGAAATATTATCCTTAACAAGCCTATTCATGAGGTCTTGGATATTTATTATCTCCTCCATTATTCAGTTGTACTATATCTAACACAATTAACAAATCAACGCAGGAATAATCTGTAAATATCTAATTATTCAATCTACTAATGCTTAATAAACTAGCGTAACTATTTTCTAATAATATTTGATAATATACATAATTTGATAATATACATAAAACTTAAACTATCTTATATTAGTTATATATCAATGCAAGGAATCAATAATAAGTGTGTACAAAACCTAGTTTACTTATAACTTGCTATTATAGACTGCGGCAAAGTAAGTTTATTTCTCAGTGGGAGAGTAGTTTGGGTCAAGAATGAACCAGTCCTCCCAATGCGCATACAATATCCGCACATGAATTACTGCGCAGCCAAAACTAAAAATTTGTCTCACTATCCCAAGGAGGAGGTCAAGTAGTTACCGTCTCACTTGACGCGCATTCCCTTACATAAGCATGTATCGATTGCGCAGCGATTAAAAATCGCATTTCTGGTCTTCAATTTTCAACTCTATAGCGATTGGTGATCACTACAGAGTGACGCACGCACGCGAGTTACACTTATTTCTAACGGAAATTGTCAAAATACATGTACTATAAAAAATTGTGACAACAGTTAATACTCTTAACAATGCATAAACATTAGTAAAAGCCACTTCATATATGGCTGTAAATATATTATAATGTATAAGAAAAGGAAGGAAAATAAGAAAAATAAGATTATACATTTAATACTAATGAAAATTATATTAATAACCAATTATTATCCATTGTTAATTAATTCAGACAATGATTAAGCAGGCCATTCCATTCTTATTCAGCATTGCCGATTGATTTTGAACACCTTTCATGTATGTAGGAGCCTAAATTTTTCGTCTAGTGATTTTCGCTAGGTCACTCATCTATACACTACATAGTATATGACCAGCTGTCATAATATACGCACCGCGTGTTTAAGAGCTGCTTATACTGTCACTTATATTCTGAAGACAGCAATCCAGAAAGAAGCTAATAATTTTTTCACTCGTTTGCAGATGCAGCTTTCAACAAACATACCAAGTAACAATAGTAGCAACACCATTCAGCACGCATATTGAGATTGATCGATCCAACATCTTCACATTAATTATTGTGAGTATATCAACGCATTATTCACAACGGGGAATATATTAACATTCTTGGATCGCAAAACAGATTGTAATGTATCGAATAATGCAACGGGTAATTGCCAGTACATTCAATAACCTATACTTGTGCCAGATGGAATACATGTTAGCACCATTATTCAGTAAATGAGCAAGAATTATGCAATACAGTTTATCAAACCATCGTTTCCTATTTACAGGTGCATTATAAGAAGGATTTCACTGCGTACTGCAATGTAATACAGAAGAGCGGCGTGCATATCTACCATAGACATACTACAGCCGACCCCCGCATCACCCCAACCATATTGCACGTAATTTTACTTATTACACTGTTGTAGTGCATAGATAATATAATGTTATAAAAAGTATATTCTTCCATAACGATTTATTATTATTAAAATTATATTTAGTATAAGGTTAGATATGTATATACGCTCCAGTGCTTCACACAAGTGAATATCTCAGGCTAACCAATGATAAGTACCAATCAGTGCGAGTGAATCTATTCTGAATAATTATCCCATTAGATTATTTATGTTAAATTTATATTAAATTTATATTACACTATTTTTTATTAATTATTAAGTAATTACTACTGCAACATTTAGCAGTAGTAATTACTACTGCAAAATATACTGTACTGTATAACTCGCTCATCCATAGGTAAGATCAAAATCAGCTAGTCTGCGTGTGCAATTATCAATAAGTAAAGTAAAGCAGAATGTATCCATACAAAGTTAACAATGCAATTAGATTCATTTACTTACGACATCCGTGTCGTTATACAAATTCAATCACTAGGCTAATTTAATATATGAATACGTGTTCGTAAATGTTTCCTAAGTAACATTGCTTTCCATTTTCAGGTATTATGCCCATAAGGTTATACACTCGACAGTACAGTGCACCTGCGCGCAACTCATCAACCGTGACGAAATAGATGTCACAGTAATTTACATATCATAGCAATCATTTAATGGAGCGACAACAACCAAATATTATTTACATGATACATTATATAATGTATCCATCTATAATTTTATATCCTTATAAATTCAATCTATACACTCAGTTGCTATCAGTATATATTCGTATCAATGTATATTTATACAAAGTTCTAATTTAGATATTATTATACCGGTTCTAATTTAGATATTATTAAACCGGTGAGGCAATACATATAACTGTTCAGCATAGATGTACATCCGTTTCATGAATTATAGTTATAACAGGAGAGAAAAGCAACAATCTACTTTAACACGATATTCAAAAGTAACGTCTAATTAATGCTATTTGCAAACCAATCGTATATTAATTTAGTAATATTATATTTAGTAATATTATATTTAATATTATATTTAGTAATATTATGTTTATATTGCAAAAGTTATATTCTACAAATGCTGTTTGCAAACCGTTGTAATCCGGGTAAGCAATATTAATTTAGTAATATTATATTACGAAAGTTTATATCTAAACAACTCTTTTATTCACGAATAGATTCGTTGATATTTATTTATTTATTTAGTAGTGTAACAGTTTCTTTATACTATTATTCCAGTAAATTTATATATTCAGCATTTGAGGCAATGTATACACCTCGTTACTGCTAACAAACAATCCTACGACAGATCAATAATACTTATTTTCTTATTACAAGGATCTATCATTTCATTTAATGAAATATAATATAAAATATAAAATTTCATGCTCATTAGCAATTATATTTTCAACCAAAAATTAAATTATTATTATTAGTTAATTAACAGTTTATCATCCGTTATAGGTCAACTATACTAGAGAGGGCATACGTACTATAACACAAGTGAACACAAAAGTATGTAAACCATAAAAGGAAGAACTTACGTTCCTCCTGTGACCACAAATGTTATTATAGATTATGTCAATCTACAATTACCTCTATAGTGCTATAATTCATTAATTTTAAGATAACACTGTACTAATTTAATTAATATACTATTTGTACTTAATGTGTATTGCGTACTTGAATTCCTCTAAATTAAGGAGATGACAAGTCGCATATCAATTTCCTTAGATTTATTCTATAAGCTATTATAATTATCGTATTTTGTAATAATTAGAATCTAATAATTAGAATCTATTTATTCCTAGATCATATTTACTTCTAGCGTATAGTACAATAGAACAGAAACTGTTATTCGATTAAACTAATTTTATTAGGATATTTAG